GAGCTGGATATCAGACACCTGATGCTGAATTGCAAGTTTCTGCCATAATTGGTGTTAATGCCTTTGCTGTTCCAGCTGTAGGTAAGTGTTGGAGTGTCTTAGGGATCATCCATTCCTCCTGCTACTGTAATGTTGAAGTTTCAGCTGCTTAGAAATCTTTCCCTTCCCTCTCACGTCCCCAGTCCCCAAAACAGAAAATCAAAATCTCTGCTTCTTTTAATCCTCAGAATCATCTCTAAGGGAGATTATTACAGCTGGGTTGAACTTTATTTTAAAATATTAAATTGCAATATTGCAAGGGTGGATTTTATTTTTTTTAATGTACTTATATTTTCTATTTGGGAGCACAACAGTGTTCCTGGAATCCCTTTTGGTTGATGGATGTGAAAGTTTCAGTTAAATTTACAGTTCAAATGAACACGTTGTGGAACATAAACCAATCAAGAGGTTTGCTTTGCTATTAAAAACTTGAGTTCAGCTCCCTTGGCAGCACTGTAACATTTACAATGTCCTTAAAGACTTTCTTTCTGATGCCTTAACTTATTTGCATTTGATAAAATTTTGTAGCTGGTGCCTGTGTGCAGAAACTAACTACATTAAACAATTTAAAGTGGCATGAGCTAGTCTAAATCCAATGAAAATGCTGAATGTGATGATTTGTTAGTTGTTACTAGATTTCAAACTGCTCTGATTTTTTCAGTGGATACTTAAGTTTTACATAACTTGTCATGTAATAATGTTTTCATTAGTTCTGATACACTGAGGACGTGTACAAAAATCCATGGAAAATGTGAATAAATGAACGGGAGATTCTGTTGTCTTGCGTGAATCACTTCCATTTGGAGAGTATAATGCTGTGTTAATAAAAGGAATTGGACAATCAGTTGCTTGCAGGTGAACTGCCTGGAAACTCCTGCTGGTAAAAGAAGAAATGTGCTTCCTCAGGGTGGCTGGGAAACCTGGCGAGTTGCTAAGAGCCAGTTCAGCAAAATGCTTCCTCCTTTGCAAGGTCAGTGAGCTGAGCCAGCTCAGAGCAGGAAGCTGGGAATGCCCTTGACTGCACAGAGAAAACTGGTGCTTACAAGCTAAGAGAATGCCCGTGGAGATTGACCTGTAAAACCACTCCACCTGAACATTAAAGGATTTAGGAGCCACAGTAATTGGGTTTGCCTGATGACCCTTACAGAACTTATTTTAGATCTTACCTAGAAGCACTATCCTAGTCAGGCCATGAAGTGATTCTTCTCTTCACCAGCTGGTGACAGTTTGGCAAATGGAAGGAGTCCCCAAAAGCAACTCCCAACTGACTTGGCACACCAAGCACAGCTCATCTTTCCAGTGCAGCAGGAAGTGTTGAGCCCACGGGAGCACCTGTCAGCCACTGGTGCGTCTGCTGTTCACCACTGCCTTGTGCTCTGGAACTCTCCACATCATACCCACAACTGGGAGCTACTTCTGGCAAGAGGATACAGTTAATGTCAGCAAAAATTATCCCAGCATCCCATCACACCCATCAGTTACAGCACTGAGGAACCCAAGCACTCGTGCTCCATTTTTAAGGATGTAGTTTCTATCAGTAGACAGCCACATTTCCACCCAAACTGCCCAGTACATTTTTTCCTGTTTAATTATTTATTTAAAACAAAATACCCATACACCTTCATGCACTTAGGATGGATGTTTCTACATTTTAGACACTTTTTCCTTCCTTCTACTTAAAAAGACTGTCATCACCGCTTAGAGGCTCCCAAGCTTTTGGCAGCCATAAACGAAAGGCAAAGTAACAGCTCAAAAGAGCAGAATTATTTTTCTTTTCAGGCTGGAGTAATCTAGAATATCTAATGCCTAATGCTTTGCCAATCACCAAAGATTTTAGCACTTCAATAACAGGAACAGGCAAAAGTAACAGCACAGAAGGCAGCAAGCCCTGAAGATCCAGCCTAAGAAAATGCAACACTCCAAGAACAGTGTGTTACTCAACATCTGGCTCCTTCCTGACCCAGCAGGCAAATGCCCTCACAGCAGGTCACAGACACTCAGGCATGCAGCAGCTGGAACCATTCATCTGAAAAGCACAGCAAGTATGAGCTAAGTTGTGCTGGTTTAGACTGGGGTAGAATTAAATTTCTCCGCAGTAGCTGGTAAGGGCTGTGTTTGGATTTATGCAGAACAGTGCTGATAACACAGGGATGTTTTAGTTCTTGCTGAGCAGGGACTGCACAGAGCCAAGGCCTTTTGGCCTCTGAGGTGGAGAAAAGCAATAAACTTCTCTGGATTTTCAGGAGATGATG